GTGAGGAGCAGGGCGCATTGCTCACTGCTGGGCTGCCAGGCCCGTGGAGGCTCTGGGGAGGTTGCCCAAAGCGATGCTGAGCCTGCTGTGACTGTGCCCAGAGTGGCTGGGCACCCCGGTGTCGGAGCGCAGGGCCCTGCGGGAGGAGGTGGGGGCAGAGGAGAGCAGCCTCCTGCGCTGTGCTGCCCGCGGCCCCCCCCAGGTCGCCGTGTCTCCGGCTGACACTCTCCCTTCCTCCGGTAGCTGCTGCGTGGACGAGGTGGCCGCGGAGCACGTGGGGGCGGAGGCCGTGGTGCACTACGGCCCCGCGTGTCTCAGCCCCTGCAGGAAGTTGCCGGTGCTGCACGTGTTTGGCCGGCAGCCCCTGGACACGGAGCGCTGCGCGGGGGCCTTCCGGGAGCTCTACCCTGACCCCCAGAGCCACGTGGTGGTGCTGAGTGACGTGGTCTACGCCCACGCGCTAGGTGAGAGCGGCATCCGGGGTGGGCCGTGCGTGACGGGTTGTCACCCCCGGGTGCTGTCTGGGGGCCGTGGGAACCGCGGTGCCCCTGAACCATCCAACTGGGCTGGCCTGTCTCACGCTGCTCCGCTGGTGACCCAGCCAGCCTCTCCAGGCCCTGTTATCACCCAACGCGCCAGCAGGTGGCGCCACACACCCAGCTGAGGGACCTGAGTGCTTCACCCGAGCCACTCAAGGACAAACAGGAGACAGCAGCCAATTGCCAGCTCCCCAGCCTGGCACCCGTGCTGGAGTCTAACCCAGTATTACAGCGTCTTGCACCGCACGTGGATCTGTACAGTTCAAGCTCGTTAAGATAGTTCCCTCGGGCAGGGAGAGACGTGCACAACAAGCCTGCGTTAACCAAGCGGAGATTTTCCGGACACTTCACTTAAAGCCACGCTGGTTAAGAGAAAACATAAAACAGGTTTATTAACTACAGAAAGAGACGAAGTGATTCTAAGGGAGAGCAAAGCAGATACCTAGCAAATAAACAAAACCGCAAACTAAGCCTAACACACTAGATAGGTGGGATTTGAATGAGCTGTTTCTCACCCTGACGGATGGTCCAAGCCGGCCTGCACAGTAAGGCACAGACTGCAATTGCTGGGCAGACGGGGTGCCCCTCCCCCGTTCCAAGTCCTTTGTCTTTTGGAGCTTCTTCCAGGGGTGGGGGTGCGGGGGAGTGAAGACCAATTGTGATGTCTCTCCCTTTGTTTCCAGCTAAGTTCCCAGCCCAGTTTGTGGAAAAATACAGGTACCAAAATGGAGTTCAGTGTCATGTGGTCTGGTCACATGTCCTTGCTGGGTGCTAGCAGCCATTAGTCATTGGCTGGCTGCAACGTTCACCGGAAGGCTCAGCTCTTCCATGGCCCCTTGGCTTTGCTGATGGGCCATCGGCACTGTCTGGCTTCTTCCTTGCTGTACCTGACAGGCTGGCTGTGGGTGTCGCCCAGAGTGAGCCCGTTGGAAGTACAGGTCCCTAGTCAATATTTATAACTCCAGATACAAAACTGACCCAAAGAGGGTGATCCTATCCGGCAAATCTGCCCTTTTCCCGAGACCCCTCACACGACTAATCTTGTACCATAATCATACCACAGTGGGGAATCTGGGCTGCAGGGTCACAGCGTGCACGGGGGGTCGCGTGCCCCCTCCGGGGCCCAGCCTGGCCTGGGGGGGGGATCAGAGCAGCAGGAACCAAACTGGGTGGGCTGGCCAGTCCCATCCCCTGGGCTTCGCCAGCCCCTGCTGCCCCAGCCTGGGTCCTCCATACACAGGCCTGCCGATGCCCCTGCCTGGCAGCCCTCTCCTGCCCCTGCCCGGGGGGCTCTGTGCATGGGGCTGGCCTGCCTGGGGCCTGCTCAACCTGTCATCCCTCCCCCCCAGGTGAGCTGGAGCAGCTGCTGGGCCCAGAGTACCCCCACGTCGTCTTCTCCCGCCTGGCGAGTGACGGGGCCCCCGACTGCCTGCAGGGCCCGGGGCTGGTGCGGCAGTTTGGGCGCCTCTTTGCCGTGGCGGCGCGGCGCGGGCTGCAGGACTACGCCGTGTTCTACGTGGGCGCCGAGGGCCTGGCCCTCACCAACTTCATGCTGAGCTGGAACCGCTGCCCCTTCAGCTCCTTCGACCCGGCCACGGGCTGCGGGCGCCACGAGAGCCTCGACGCCAACCGGGCGCTGCTGCGGCGCCTCTACCTGGTGGAGCGGGCCCGGGACGCCCGCGTGGTGGGCATCCTGGTGGGCACGCTGGGCGTGGCCGGCTACCTCTCCGTCCTGGAGCACTTGCGGGACACCCTGCGCCGGGCTGGCAAGCGCAGCTACACCCTGGCCATGGGCAAGCTGAGCCCTGCCAAGCTGGCCAACTTCCTGGAGGTGGACGTGTTCGTGCTGGTGGCTTGTCCCCAGAACTCCCTGCTGGACTCCAGGGACTTCTACCGGCCCGTGGTGACGCCCTATGAGCTGGAGCTGGCCTGTAACCCGGCCCGGGAGTGGAGCAGCCTCTACGTCACTGACTTCAGAGACCTGCTGCCAGGTACCGTGCCGGCGCCATGCCAGGGGGTAGCGCCAGAGCCGCCGGGAGCTATTGCAGCGCCCCCTGCCGGGAGAGGCCGGGGCTGGGGCTCCCCCCCAGCCAGCGCTCCTGTCCCGCTCTGCACAGTGCCCCCTGCTGGGAGAGGCTGGGGCTGGGGCTCCCCCCCCAGCCAGCGCTCCTGTCCCGCTCCCCACAGTGCCCCCTGCTGGGAGAGGCCAGGGCTGGAGTAGCCGGGGGCCCTGCCATACCCAGTTCTCACACGTTATCTGGCCGCAGCTCCCACCCTGACTCACTGGGTGAGCTGGAGCC